TGAATACGATGAACAAGTGCAGCTAAATTAGTCGACAATTCTTCTTGAACAGGAAGTTTGTCACTCATCCACCTGCAGTAAAACAATGCTTTCCAAAGTTTGTCCCATTCCAATGCTGTCCATGTTTTCTTCTTTGTTAAGTATATTGTCAACTTTTTTACAGCACGGTCCCGATATTTTTTTTCTAGCACAATAATAACAAACATGGAAAAGAACAACGACAAGAATATAGAAATCATGTACCGGTATGCGCAAGGTGCTGACCAAAGCGAGAAGCGGCATTCTCCATGACATAATTATATTTGCTACTTAACTTGTAATGAGGAATGCTAACCAATGCCTTCTTATCTAAATTATCGACTAATAAGATTTTGATATATTGCAATATACATTCGTACCGGTAGAATTTTCAACCCCAGAATTGAAACGTACTAAACAACGTACGTCGCGATGGAAGGCATTTTGTGGACACGAGATGGTCGAAGTAAACTATTACGTGGTTGGCATAAACGGTATTTTGCATTATCAAATGCTGGAGTGCTTCGTGAATATACATCGAATATCAAAAAGAAGGAACTTTTGCGTCGAGAAACATCGACAATAATATCAACTATACTATCTCATGATAGTTATGAGATGAATGGAATGATATTACAACGTGAAATGGATATTCGTGGTGCAATTATTAAATCATTACCATTTCCATTAGTTGGGAAACGTCATGCATTTCAAGTGAAGATTGTACAAAGTGAACCAAATATTAAAGTAGTACTTTGTGCTCGACAAGTAAATGATGTTCGATTATGGATAAATGCATTACGATCTGCTGCTTTAAAATTGAAGATTCCACGATATCCAAGTCCAGTAGGATGGAGTAGAGAGAGTGATTTCTTGAATTTTGATCGAGTTCAAAAAAGTGAGTTTTTAGAAATTCAGATGCCTCAACGTACTGATATGGCACAATTAAGTTCAGTATACGAATGAATTTATGATAGTTGTGTGGAAACAGCTCAGAATTTAACAGTTGCTGGTGTGTATATACCAAGAGGTTCGTTATTTGTAAGTGCAAATGGTGTATTTCTACAAACATTGACATCAATTGAAGTGAAAAAGATGTTATTAGAATCAACAGGAACTTTACCTGTATCTTTAAG